ATACAGTATATAGTAAATAGAGCGCTTTATCAAGTCCCTCTGGACCCCAAAGCTCTTTACACTTACACTCACCCATTCACACTCACATTTACACACTGATGATGGCAAACTACATTGTGTGTGTGTGTGTGTGTGTGTATATATATCTATATACACATTTTTTATTAACAATTTGGTTCACAATGTACCTAATTTAAAGGCATTTTTCTAGAAAGGGTGGGCATGGAGGGCTGCAGCCCTGCATGGTTTACTTGTTTCTCTGCTTCAACAGACCTGATWTGAATGAATGGGTGATTATCAGGCTTCTGCAGAACTTGGAAGAGACAATTCAGTGAGTCAATAATGAGCTGTGTTGGAGCAGGGGAAAAGTAAAACATGCAGGGCTATAAGGCCCTCAAGGACCAGGATTGCCCACACCTGCTCTAGAACCTGAAATAAAGATTATATGAAACAAATGCAACATCTTTTGTCCTTTAATTTCCACAGCTAATAGCCTGAAAAGAACCAACCCTCTCTTTTGTTCCTTTGTGTAAAACAGTTCCACCACTCCTTCAGAAACATTTACACACAGACACATCTCGATATTAATCTTCTTCTTCTTCTTCTTGTGGTGTTTTAATGGCGGTTGGCAGTAAACTGAAGGTGTGCRTTACCGCCACCTACTGGTAATATTTATATTCTACCAAAATTATTGTATTTCTATTTAAATAACGATGTTAATCAAAAACACCTGAGAGGTTTTGACAGGGTGGCTTCTGGAGGTTGACCTGCTGAACAGTTGCCAATTATGACGTCACTAATTACCTGCCCTGCACACCTGAGCATAAACGAATCAGGTGTTGGTGAAAGGCACAAAAAGCCTGAACAGCTGCCAGTCTGCACTTTGCCAGTGGAGCTGCAGGTGGGTGATTAGCTGTTGTGTAATGTTATCATGTGTTGCAACTGAATTAGATGTATGTGCTGTATTTGAGTGCAATTGTCAATCTTGTATCTTATATTAGTTTTAAACACAAGTTTATGAAAGGTGGTGAGTTTGCTTAATATTTACACTTTTTTTTGTAAATTCCATAACCTTTTTTTTTATTTAGACTTGTCAAATTCTTTAGTTGCTGTGTAAAACTGTAGGTTATTGAAAATGAAATGCTAGTTTTTAGTTTTTAAAGTTGYTGTTAACCTGAAACGTTCATTTAAACCTAATCTATTCCTAAGGTAGTCTGTTTAAACTTTTGTATTTGGTTGCTTAACTCACTTTCCAGTTACTTCAGAAATAAACGTGAAATAATTTTGTCATTTGTCTCAAATCCAGCAAAGGTTGGTGTRGCGGTGCCTTGGATGGAACATCTGGCTTTTCCTTCAGACTCCAGTCCTGTGGGGTTTTTTTATTTTATTTTTTTGTACTCTTAGGATTTTTGAGCTTTCTGAGGATCGTGGACCAACACCTGATTCTTCAGAGGAAACTTGTCCAGTTTTCACTCAGCAAAATGAATTATCTTTAGACTTTTATGCTGTGTAAAAAGGTAAACCAGCATTTAAGAATGCTTTGGAATTGTAAAGCAGACCACACAAGGGTTTATTTTGACCCTTTACAACACTAAAAATTAAGATTCTGCAAGATATTTGAAGTTGTTTGAGCTCTGRATTTCTTGTACTCTTTATCTTTTGCATTCTGAGATTCAGATAAGTTTCTCAATGTTGAGCCAACTGATTTTTTTATTCTGTTTTATTGCTGCTCTTAATGAACAAATGTCAACATTTAAAATTTGGGCTTAGAAAATACAATGGTCACTGAGTGTCTATACATTATATTAATGAATTAATTTATAAAAATTATAAATTCAAGTGCTCCTACAATTATAAAACTACCTCAAATTCACTTGGTTTAATAAAATGCTATAAAATAAATGGTAAGGAGCTCATTTTGGTGCAGTAGAAGTTCATGATCTGTTTACAAGCTGAACAAAACTACATAAACTTTTCTTAAGCAGAAGGAAGTTGATCATAGTTACATATAAGYTGTTGAAAGTGAAATTGTAAATATTTGTATCCTTACAATGGTGTTGAAATCTTAAGATTCAATTTCAATAAAAACAACTTAAACCTCTTGGGTGCTTTTTTAAATGAATAATGCCCATTATAATTTAGTTGGTTATCTTATTGAGGAAAATGAGAGCGTTTAAGTTAAAAGCAATTAACGCATTTAAAAACACAAGTTTTACTAACTCTGGGGTATTAAATGTCAATAGACGAGCTTCAATTTGCCATCTTCTAACGTGATTACGAGTTCTCGCGAGACTTCCGCTCTTCTCGTCCAATCCAACATGTCGCCTTAGAGGCGCTGTTATTGTTCGTCTGTTGAGTCTTCAGTTTGTCTAATGAACCGAGGTGGGACGAGAAGCGGGAGAGGGCATGAGAGGAAGAGCCGGAGATCATGTTGAGGTCCACCGGCTTCTTCCGAGGGATCGACTGTCCGTTTTACTCGGACTACAGCGGCGGTAAAAACGGCTGTAACCGACCGTACTGTCACTTCAGGCACAGCCAGCAGCGACGCTCGTCTCACGGAGCTCCGGYAGACGTGAAGCGGCAGAAAGACGTCCAGTTCGGACAAAAAGGTGCTCATTTCCCACCTCCATTATGCCGAATTCACTCGATTAGTTCCACTTGTGTGTCCGCAGAGTCCACACCACGGTGTTCGTASAGGGTTTCCTGTGATGCTGATGCAGCTAACAAGCACACATTATCTAAAACTAAAGCTTTGTTTATTTTTTTTACTGTACAGCAATTACATAATAAATCCAAAGCGATTCTGAAAAGCTTGACTTATGGCAGAATTTGTGTTTAAACTTGTTTTAGTTTTAGAAATGTTTTAACAAGGTCAGCAGTTCCTTGTAACAAAAAGAAAATCCTGAGTTATTTTTAGTCGAAAATTAGTTTAAGTGGGTTTTTATTTTTTTGAAACCAAAGCTCCTTTTACCTCATATTTATTTGTACCAAAACAAGAACAACGTTTTATAAATTAGTGTATCTTTTCTAAATAGGAACAAAATAAACCCTTTTAACATTTTAAGCTCAAACTAATTCAATAACTCTTGGTGAGCATAGTTTCCAAAACACATTTTATGAATGCAGCTATAAAAGCTAAAGAAAATAAAACAAAATTTGTTAAAATTTGCAATTTTAGTAGATTTAAAAAAAGCAAAATCTTATTTTAAGGCTTTACAAAACACTTTCTGTTCAACAGCTTGGTGTGAAAGTTACTCAGATTTTAGCAAAGTCCCACTTACTTGAACTCTATAATTCTGATGTTTGATTGCTGGGATCGGAGCCAAGTGTTGAACTTTTCAAAAACTCACCTGTCCCAGTGATTGGGGATTGTAACGTACCGACAAACATCAAAAACTGAGGAGTTTTTTTAACCGTTACTTCATTAACTCTTCCTGAATTCCCTCAAGACTTTGCTTTAATCTACTGTTTTGTTGATGACACCCTCCAGTGGCGTTTTTAGTCTTCTCATCTCCTCAGGCTGCTTAAGAAATAAAACTCGTGTTAAATGGTTTTGTAGTCAGAGAACCCCAAACCTTCGGGACGTCCTGGGCGTAAGAACTTCATCGTCAAACTGCTCGTTTCTTTCCATGATTTGTACTTTGTGTTCAACAACGTGAGATAAAACTTTCTGCCTCGTTTGCTTTTTCTTGACTATTTTTAAAATTTTTATTTATAAACATTCTGTATTAATCTGTGTCTAAATGTGGTTATGAATAAGATCTGCTTTTAGGATGGTCATGCTGGCGCATTTCCTTTCAAAAGCCTGACTGGAAGCTAAAACTGCGTTTCCTGGTCTGTTTCAGAACAAGGCTACGACCCCTTCAACCCAGAGGTGGTGAGAGCCCCGGAGCAGCAGAATGGAGACCTCAGCGGCGCTTTGGAGCTCGTCAACAAGGCCATCGAGGAGGTCCGCAGCGAGGTGGAGAGAGAGAAGAAGAAGCTCTCTCGCATCGGGGATGAACCGTACAGTCCCACTGAGAGCGCCGGCTTGTCTTCCTCCGATGTTACTAAAAGCAGAGCGGCGGGTTTGCACTTGGCGTACGATCCCGGGAGTTATCAGATCACATCGGGAGGGTATAATCTCACTCCTGGCTGCAGCAAGTACACCCTGGATTCAGACGTCCGGGGGCACAACAGCAACTCGATGGAATACGTTCCCACRTCGCTGAAAAGGCCTTTTTCTCAGGCAGAGCCGCCGCAGCCTCCCTCTCCTCCGCCCAGCCCAAAGTATTCAAACAGCAGGTCCTTTAAGTACACTGTGGATAATTCCAGACCCTCTACAGACTTGGAGTACGATCCGCTGTCCAACTATTCGGCTGGCATCGCRGACAAGAGCAAAAAGGACGAGGGTGCCTCCGTTCAGACAGATTACGGCAAAGCTCGCACACTCTCTGGGACCGTTTCGTCAGACGAGGGCTGCGCCGCGGCTTCGAAAAAGCCTCCGCAGCCCAGTCAAGACGCGAAGAAGTACACGATCTCTGACTCTGACGGAGAGAGTTCTGGGATGGAGTACCGACCGACGTCTCTTAGCAGTCTCCAGCAAAAGAAAGCCAACGCTGGATCAGCTAAGGATGCTTTTAGAAAAGACAGGACTGAGCACAGGTTAAGTGCTTTAACGCAGAAGAGAAGAGAGGCCGTGGACGAGGACTCGGGCGTTCAGGAAAGTGTAAAACAAAAAGACATCCCAGACAAAAAGAAGGCGGCAGACCSGACCGGTCGCGAGAAAAGTAGCAAATCTGAGAAGGTGCGCAAACCTGAGAAGGAAKCTGGCAAATCATCCGGTCAGAAAAGCAGCAGCAGCAGCAGCAAAAGCAGTATTAGTAAAGACAAAGTGTCAATACAGAACTCAAACCAAGACTGTTTGAAGAAAGAGAACAAGAGTCACGGGAAGAAAGACGACGGTAGAAACACAGCCAAGATAAAAGCATCGGATAAAATTCAGAGGGAAGGCAGAGACGAAAAGAGAAGCGATGGTAAGATCAAGACCGCCGAAAAAACTAAAAGAGAACCGAGCAAACCAGGTAAAGACGCGCCGGAGAGCAAAAAACTCAAAACATCAGACCGAGAAAAAGACAAAGAGCACAGCAAGCATAAAGACCGCCCGCATAAGAACGGAAAACTCGACAGTAAAAGAGAAAAAGACGTAAAGAAAGTGAGCAAGCACGGTTCCAGCGGCAGYAAAGGCAGTTCAGCAAACAGTAAGGATAAAGTGAAGCTAAAAAGCAGCTCGTCGTGTGAAAAGAGGCTCGAGAACAAAAAGAGTCTGAGTTTGAGCCACGCGGATCTGTTCGGAGACGAGAGTCCAGACGAGGCCGAGCCGTTCGTGGAGGACGAGGACGACGAAGCAGAGGAGGTCCTGGTGAGGAAATCGGCCGACGCGTTGAAGAGGGGGCGCCTGAACAAAAGGAAGGCTTCGGAGCGCTCGCAGTCTTCCTCTGAGGAGGAGGATGACCACAGCGTGGAGGGCAACAAGACAGGTTGGGAGAGGGCCGATGGCCCCGAAATCGACTTCTCCAGGTTCCAGGATGATCTGGACTTTGACTCAGATCCCATGGAGGAATGTCTTAGGATCTTCAACGAATCCAAAGACGTGAAGAAGGAAGACAAAGGAAGGCAAGCCAAGCAGGTACCGGCATTACTCCTGCAAGTAAATCTCTGTATTTACCAGGTAATGTCATTTAAACCTGAACAGTAAAGCTACGTTTTGTACTTTYAGCCTTCAAGAGATTCAGAGGAGGAGAAAATCTCAGAGAACACTTTAAGCACTCTCTTCCCTGGTCAGAAGAAGAGAGTGTCYCATTTTGTTGCCAAAGGAAATGTAAGTTTCTCAATTTAAATGTCTTCATGCCACAAACTCCATTCCATCAYCTTGTTTCACAGCTGCTGCAGTGAAACAACAAACTACATGCAATGACTTCAAAACAAATTTAAGTCTAAATACTGAAAAACACTTCTTACTATCATTTTTTAAAATAAATTATACAGAAATGTCTCTAAATAAGAGACACAAAGTACTTTTTTTTTAACTACAAAGTCCTTGTAGCCAACATTAACTTGCTTTTGAGCTTGCTCAGTTGTTTGCTATCCTCTATGTAGTGGGCGGAGCTTCTCCATCCGATTGGCTAAATACCYGAAGGGCTCCGTTTAATTGGTCAAATACAAAGTTTCCGTGTGATTGACCAAACACATAAGTGCAAACATTTATGCAGTATTTGGCGATATGCCTATTTCACATGCTGTTATCATGATTAATTTATGAAATATTGTGCAAAAGAGATTTGTGATCTCAATGGGATTTGCCTGGTTAAATAAACATTAAAAATAACAGCAGATGATCAATTAAAAAAACGAAATCAAGCAAAGACAAAATTCCTCATTCCTTCCTCTTTCATTTGATCATCTCCTCCAGTGGTGGGCACAGTTCTCCTAAAGCACTAATAGGGGAACGAATTTCCTGGTTAGTCAGGGTTCCTGCAGATCCTTAAAAAGTCTTAAAAGACATTGAATTCGTCAATACAAAAATAAGGCCTTAATTATCCTTAAAATGTCTTAAATCAAAATTTCTGAGGTCTTAAATGTTAACACATTGTAATTGTGATTTGTCTTAAGAATAAAATAATTGGTAACATTTTTTT